AACGATAATAAAACAATTATGTTTGCTCTCATATTTATATAAGGATATATTCTTTATACAGAATATCCGATAATAACTGTAACATCTCTCGTGAGCAAGTAGAGCGGATTATATTAATTAAAAAGTCCTGTAATATTTTATGATTTTCGTATTAAAGAGTTTTTAATTTAATATAAATCTGCGAATAAACAGTTTTGCGTTATACACGATTGTTAGATGCGTGACATGATGTTTGGATCCGTAAATGATAGAATATCTGTTTATAGTATATATGCCTTCAACATATTGCCGCATGCCTAGCAACTGTAGCGTGCGTAACGTTGAGCTGTTCTTTTGTATGAATGTTCGCTCATTCGAATTTGTATAACTATGTATAAATCTATAGATCTGTATAAATTAATGATTCTTTAATTATGAAAATTGCAAAATGAATTTTTCTATTCAATAATCTTCTCTACTTGTGTATGAGAGGTATTAGGTATACAAAAAAGTTCTGAGCTTTAGATTTCATACAACCGAAATAACAATTTAAATTTTATATATCTTCACGCCCTTTTGCGGTTTTAAAGCATTGACATTTGGCCTTCTAAAATGCCATACGGTTTGGCGTTTGATGCACATAACCTCAAAAATCAGTAGTGTTCACGATGGCAATAACAAAAGAGTATATTCGATTTTTCATCCACTTCGCGTTTCATCTGAAGAAAAATGCTGCTAAAGCCACTGCAATGATTTGTGCTGCATATGGAAAGAACGCTGTAAGTCATATTACATGTAAAAGATGATATCAAAAATTTCGCCAAGGAAATTTCAGTTTTGAAGATGAACCGCGTGCTGGACGTCCTCAAAAGATTGAAACGGACGAATTGCAAGGATATAAGCACTGCTGGATATAAACTCTGCGCAAACTGAAAAGGAGCTTGCAGAACAACTTGGCGTTACGCAGCAAACCATTTCCGTACGTTTACATACGATGGGAAAGGTTCAGAAGAAAGGCAGATGGGTTCCGCATGAATTGTCCGAAGACAACAAAAATCGTCGGCGTGACACTGCACTCACTTTGCTTTCAAAGTTCCGGAAAAAGATTTTCTGTACAAAATCATTACAGGCGATGAAAAGTGGATTCTTTATGATAACCCTAAAC